AAGGAGGAACTCTCCTAGGGGGGTGGGGGTGGGGGGGGGGGGGAGGAAGATATGGCTCTAGCAAGTTGGCAGAGTGATTTAGTAGGGCCTTTTCTATAACTTAAGGAGTGGTCACACAGCAGAAGTATATGTTTAAAAATAGTGCTACAGATACTGCACACAAAGATTATGTAACAGGATTTTTCTATTATAGTTATTGTGGTCTGAGTTGTATTTATTTCAAAAGACATAATCTGACGTAGTTCACAGCCCTGGAATGCAAAACTGATACTTGAAAAGTAGTGGACAATTATTCATAACTAACTGCACATAAAAGACTTCACAGAAAATACTTGCTACAATTTTAAAATTAAAGCTAATAAGAAAGTAAATCTAAGGCTAACACAGGTCGTGAGTTCACTTTTAGGTAAAGCAGTAATAAATTTCAGACAATATACAATTATGGATATCTAGAAAGATCTTTCCAGATGGGTATCTAGAGAATAGTTCCTAATAGAATAGAAGCAGGTGTCCTCCTGTTTATATTCCTTTAATCTGAGGTACTGTATTACAAGGTGTACACTACTAATGCTGGCCACACTTGCAATGAATGAGCAAGGTGCCAATTCACAGAATCTGAAGCCCCTTTGGACAGCTGTTGGTAACCTGCACAGCTGTTGGTTAGGCCTGCCATGTGCCCAGCTCAAGGTACCAGCCCACTCAGGACCCTGGGGCATGAGGCAGCAGAGGGAGGCTTTGAGCACTCTGCCAGCTGCTTCTCTCACTGCTCAGCCTCCTGAGGGGCAGTGCCTGTCTTGGGCAGTTTGAAATGTTAAGTGTTGCTGCCCGTGCTAGGGTGATGGTCAGCACCCAGAAGTTGGTGCTGAAAGGCAGGATACCCGAGATGGAGATGGGGTGGTGGTGGGAGGGTGCACCTCCTGCAGCTGAGAAAGCATAAGGGCCACAGCAGGTTGGACTTCATCCCAGACGTGCTTTCAGTGCTGAAAAAAAAGTTGTGAAGAGTTCCCAAAAGATAACAGCTGTGGCTATGTCAAATCCCAGCACTATGTGCCAAAAAACCAGTGTGCATAGCTGTGCTGTACAGGACATCCTGTCTTACCACAATCCAGATCACTGTCTTATAGCTTTGTCTTGATGGATCTGTTCCCTAAAACAGGGATGGCAGCCAAGGGGTACACGTACCTGTAAGCTCTCTCTTCCCAGTGGTCTGCGAGCACAAACCTTTAGAAAGGCCATGGTGTGGGGAAAACAGCTGTTGCATCAGTGGTCTGTAATTAAGGCACATTGCTGTAGGTATGTAGCAGCTGTGGCGTAGATAGGCTTTATGCTTTTATACTTGGTGCTATTAGTTTGCCTCTATATTATTGAACATAGTGGAAGTGAATTCCTCCCTGGTTCTACCTTTTTTCTTGGGGTGTGTGTGTGTAGCTGTAGTAGCTATAGTAAGGCACATGCTAAGAAGGGGCACCAAGGAGTGCTATGTCCTAGTAACCAGCTAGGAGACTGGTATTTCTGTACTTTTTCATTTCTGACCCCAAGCTTTTCCAAATACTCTTTTGAGCTGAAATAGCCTGTTCCTGATCTACACTCACAAATTACCCTTTAATAAAAAAAGTGAACAAAGCAAAAGCCAACATTTGAGCTATTAAAACAGATTTTTCTCCCTTGTGGTCTAACCAAATGATCCCTCTGCTCAACACAAACATCCGTGACAAGGAGCGTGAAGCTGAGCCGTGGCCCCTCCTCGCTATGTCTGCTCAGAAGGAGAAACACCCATTTATTTGAAAATGAAGATTACAAAGAAGCTGGGAATGTGCTTGTGTTAGGCTAATTTATTTGTTCCTCCCCACAAGAGCCTCTGTACATGATCAAAGAGCGGGGGATGGATGTAACAAGGCACCCTCGCAGCCCTCTGAGGTGTAACCCTAGGCAGTGGGGTGCCGTTTCCATAGGGGGAAGGCGAAGGGGGCCACAGTGCCACTGCTCCTCCCCAGCTGCGGCCCTCCCCACCGAGGGGCAGTTGGAGGCCTTGGGGTGGTTCCCCCCAGGCGGGGCCCTTCCAGGCTCCATCCCCTCACAAAGCAGGGTGTGGTGTGGCACCGGGCAGCGGCGATGGGGGTGCTGCTGGGGCTGCTGGTGCTGCTGGGCCTGGCCAGGGGCCCTGCCACCTCAGGGGACCTGTCTGGGGAGCTGCGCGTCACTGCCACGTGGGTGACGGTGCCACGGCAGTTGAGCCCCCGTTCCGACACCAACCCCCTGGCTGTCTCCTACTGGCTGGAGGTGGAGGGGCGGCCGCGGGTGCTGCGCCTGTGGCCCAGGCGGGGGCTGATCTCCCACCCCTTCACCTTGGTCACCTATGGCAAGGATGGGGCCCGCTGGGAGGAGCACCCCTTTGTGCAGGACAACTGCTTCTACCAGGGTGAGGTGCAGGGGAGCCCCGGCTCCCTGGTGGCCCTCGGCACCTGCGGCAGGGGCCTCCGTGGTGTGCTCTGGGTGGAGGATGGCACCTACGAGATCGAGCCCATCCCCGATGATCCAGCCTTCCGGCACATCCTCTACCGCATGGAGGAGGCCAACAACCCTGCAGGCCCCACCTGTGGGCTGACCCCAGAGGAGCTGGAGCACCAAAAGGCTTTGCTGCCCTGGTTCAAGGCCCCCCGGGTGGAGGAGGAGGAGATGCTGAAGGATTGGTGGACGCACGTCAGGTACGTGAAGATAGTAGTGGTTGTGGACAATGTACGCTTTGTGAAGTCAGGCAGGAATGAATCTGAAGTCTTGAGGCAAGTAATAGAAATCATCAACATTGGGGACTCTCTGTACGAACAGCTTTCTGTTCGGCTGTTTCTTGTGGGATTGGAGATCTGGACCAAAAGCAACCTTATAAACATTACTAACTCTATCAACAAGGCACTTGACGACTTTAACAAATGGCGGAAGTCAGACCTGTCTCCACGGATGCGTCATGATACCGCTCACTTATTTGCATTTCAGAGCTTTGGAAGGAGCCTGGGATTGACATTTCTAGGGTCCATGTGTGATAACCAGTGGTCATCAGCAGTTGCTTCCTTCACTGATAGGAAGTTGTCCTCATTTATTACCACATTTGTCCACGAGCTGGGCCATGCTCTTGGGATGCGCCATGATGAACGGGGCTGTAAATGCAGACGAAAGAAATGCATTATGTATGAAAGTGATGTCGACACCGATGCGTTTAGTGACTGCAGTTACAAAGACTACTTTGATATGCTTGGACGTGGCGCCGGCTGCATTCGTCAGCCACCAGCACCCGGTACTTTCTACACAATGAAGCGTGAATACTGTGGGAATAAGATAGTAGAAAGCAGAGAGCAATGTGACTGTGGTTCAGAATCAAACTGCAGAAAGGATCCTTGTTGTCACCTGAACTGTACATTTACTGCAGGTTCAGTCTGTGCTTCTGGAAAATGCTGCAAGAGCTGTCAGGTCCTTCCAGCAGGAACGCTCTGCAGAGCAAGTACTGGCAACTGTGACCTGCCAGAGTATTGCAACGGGACTTCGCCTCGGTGCCCGCCAGATGTGTACATACAAGATGGGACCCCTTGCAAAGGTGGTGCTTATTGCTATCGAGGAAAATGTTCTTCCCACAGTAAACAGTGCCAGCATCTCTTTGGCAAACAAGCCAGGGCTGGTCCTTTAGATTGCTTCAAAGCAGTGAATACTCGAGGTGACCGATTTGGGAATTGTGGTATTCGTAACAATATCCATTTTACAAAATGCAGTATTGAGAATATCTTATGTGGTAGGATCCAGTGTGAAAACATAGACAAATTGCCTTTCTTGCAGAACCACGTAACGCTAGTCCAAACCCCTGTTGCAGATAAAAAGTGTTGGGGTCTCGACTATCACGTAGGGATGCCAATGGCTGACGTGGGGGCTGTGGAAGATGGCACGCCGTGTGGTAGTGATATGCTTTGTATAAACAGGACATGTACCAGCATATCACTGCTGAACTACGACTGTAACATGACAAAGTGTCATGACAGAGGAGTGTGTAACAATCGTAAGAACTGTCACTGCAGGTATGGCTGGGCTCCTCCATATTGTGAATGGGAAGGATTTGGAGGTAGTGTTGACAGTGGACCCCCTCCAGCCAGGGAGATTTTTCAGAGAGCAAAAATAGGAGTAACACTACTTAGTCTTCCTTTTCTCTGTATCCTTGGAGTAACCCTTACCATATGTTATAAATGGGAAATAGTGGGATGGCTTAGGAGGAAAAAGGCCCGATTCCACAGAAGAAGATAGCAGTTGTTTCAAATACTGGAAAAGCCAGTGGTTCCTAAAGGACAACACCTGCTGGTGAGTCAAAGCATTTGTGAGAGACCAACGAGCAGTAGCTTTGGATGCTCCTGGGGAAATCTCCCTTGAGCAGAGCCAGCTGATAACTCATCAAAATAATTCAACACATCCTGAATAGTTCTAATCTCATGTGATATCATTAAATGCAGAGTAAATGTTATCTTTGTTTATTTTAAGTTAATAAATACAGGCAGTAAGGCATGCTGTTCTTTTTTTCTTTGCACCTTGAGCTTTTAAACTGAAGTGGTTAGGTAAACTAGGTATAGCTTTTATGCTTCATATCAACAGTTTACAAATGCAAACTTCTTAAAACAGGTGTAAATAAATTATTTGCTCCAATTTACTCCTTCATCTAATGTTTTCTCCAATTCAGGGAGAGAGATGTTTGTGAACATCTTGCTTCTGTCATTCATTAATAACCAAAGAAAAAATGGCTCTTGCAGTCTCCATTTAATTCACATCTGTGACATGCAAGCAGGCAAGAAACAGGTATTGCAGTGAGATTGCAGGTGTCTGTGGTGGAAGCCCCTCCAGCTATTTCCAGGGAGTAGTCCTTCAGGAGGGAGGTAGATCACAGGGAACAGGGTCTTCATCTTGTGACATGGTAGAGAAGTATTATCCAGATCACGCCAGTAAGCATTACATTTCTGAACCATCAGATATACGTCAAGAGTGTAGTGACACCAAACCTGACATTTCACAAGAACAAATTGTCTGTCTTTTCTGGAGACTTTCCAATGCCTTGACTGCTGGGTTCTTCTGAGAAGTGCTATGTATTTTATTGTTGCTAGTAGCTGTCTGTGAGGCTGCACAAGTTAACTGGATTGCTAAAATACTTGGTACTACTCTGCAAGTCTCCCCCAACTAGAGTTCCAGCAATATTTGATAGGCGTTTTATTTTAACTATCTCGGTGGGGTGGGGGGAGTTCTTTGTTTAATACGCGATTGCTTTGTAAGCTATTATTGAATGTGTCCTTGCAGCTGTACGGAACGCCGTGCAGAAGCATTGTATTTTCCAGTTTTTAACAGGAGATAAAATGTGTCTAACTTACGGAAAAAGCACAAGGGATGTGGAAATACCATTCAATACATTTTATTTTTATTATTTATAGTATAGCAGTGACTAGATCAGCATAAAGAGGAGTCTGTAGTCCAGATTTACAGTGAAAACTTTATTTTAAAGGACTGGTGTTTCTGGATTAAGGGCTATAATGCACTTGTCTGCTACCAAAAGAATTATTTGCATTTGGAAAGCAAATACCACATTTTTAGCAAACATTCTATAAAGGCAGGATAAGTACCCCAACACTTGAAACATTTGGGAAGAAAGATGTTGGTGACTCTGCAAATGATGACGGTAAACTCTTGCTGCCTCCCAAGTATGACATAGATGTTTTTAGCATACACATTTTCCTGTATGGTTTTTTTAAAATGATTGTGTTCTGCATCCAAAAAGGGCAGGTTACATTATGATTGGAGTGAAATACAAAGGATGTGATTCAGAGTTCTTCATGGCTTTTTGTCTAAAGCAAATGGGTCCTTAAATTGTTACCTATATTTGTCTGGGGAAATGAGGTAACACATTGTTCAGCAGTCTACGCTTGTAATCTTGATAGAACATGGATGGTTTTGATTAGATGAAGAACACTTGATCCTGCATTTATGTCAAAAGACAAGCTAACTGCCCCTTGACTAACACCCCAAATTTATTCCTTATAACCAGAGACCTTTTTTTTTTTTTTGGGGGGGGGAGGGCAGTGTGCAGAAAAGAGAGTATTTTTTTTTCCCCTCAGAGAAATAGGAATCTTAATTCAGGTGTGAGAAGCAAGGGTTATGTGACAAACAAGGGGGATGTGGATTAGGTGAAAGATGGAGATAGAAGTTAACACAAGCACTACACCCAGCACCTTCCAACTAGCTATGCACAACTGGTAAGTACTGGCAGACTTTTTTTATTTTGCTTTTTAAATATGTAAACATCAGTGGCAGAAGTCTCAGGCTGCCACCTTGATGGCCTGCTGTTGATTGATAGTATACCATAAATTGCCAAGTATAGATAGATAGATGCTGAGACCAGAGAAACATTTAAAGTCAGTTCTTATTTACAGACTTGCATACTGAAGAGGCAGAGGTGTAAACGAAAGCACAATTTAGGCTAGAAAGCTTACTTGCAAATGCAGTTTTGGAAGAGACAAAGCAATAACATGCTGTAGTTTCCATTTTTCTCTATGCTTAAAGATGATCTAAAAAACCATGACTGCTAATTGGGAGGAGGCTTTCAGCAAGCTTTGGACAGGAGTATTTCTGTACGCTTTTCTTCTATTTCTGCTCAGGCCGTATGAGCAAGACAAACATGCATCCCAACAAACTTAGTCTATGTTTTATAAAATGTGTGAGCTTCCTCGCTAAGGTTTTCTCCTTGAAAATTTTGTTGTTTCTGATTTCACCATAGCAACGAATAACTTGAAACTTCTGGTGGTCTGTTAGAAACATCCCACTACTCTGTTGTGGTATGAAGGTGCAAGTCTAAGTTCAGTCCTAGTCTTTCCGGCTTCCCCCCCTTTTTTTCCTCCTAGTTTTAATTGCCTTTTAAAATGTTTTAAACGGATGCGAGAACTTGGCTAATGTAGAAGTCACTTGAACATGGAAGAGGCAGCCTGCAAATGCTGCTGCGGCATCTCCCAAGAGATGTTGGTCAGTCTAGTATGTGAAACGGTGCTGGAGGGAAGTGTCTGACTATGAAGACCCATGAAATGGTTTGTGCCAGAGCACCAAGGTATTAAGTCTTAGGTGGGTTAACATGTGGTGGGTCAGTAGTGGTGGGTGAAGCCTGGAGCTGCCTAGGAGTAAGTAAAAATGATTTACCCGTGTTTCTTGTTTGAAATCTCTTCCTGGCTAAACAGATTTTTAAAAAAACTCTTAATATTGCAGTTATCTTGGATCAAGATAAAATCATTTTTGTTCTAAGCCAAGACTGTCATCTCTGAAATACATTAAAACTGCTTCTAAGCAGTATCTTCAAGGAGTGTGCCAAGTATGGTATTAGTAGAACCTACATTTGGAGAAAAAATAGTTGATGGCCATTGTACAAGTTTTGCTTTCCAGTGTTCTTAACCAGTGGCAAAAAGTAAGTAGAGATATCCAGGACAACGTAACTGTGGAAACTGGACTGAAACAGGTGTGAAACGCTGGGCTTAAATGGTTTAAGAAGTCCTCCTGTGATAGACAAGCTATGGTTTTGTTCATCATTGCAGGTGTAATGCTTGTCTCCCACCTCTGAGGCAGGTGTTCTAACACTCAGTTGAGCGCTAAGCATTAGTGTTGTAGCATTAAGGCATGTGGCACACTCTTCCTCTAACCCAGAGATCTAGCACCCAGGCTGGCTCTCCCTGTTAAATTCAGGAATCCAAAAGTGTAGATGATCTTGGAATGAATACAGTAAAAAATGTCATCCATACTGCAATAGAGAACAAACAAATCAGTAGTGTAACACTGAAGACCAGAGCACCTGGTCCTCGCTTTCTTCAGAAAAGTTCCTGCAGCGTGCAGACATGGGTGTCCCAGCAGTGCCAAGCGGTTAGGTGATTCAGTTGCACAGGTTCATCGTTCCCTGTTGTCATTATCTGTATTGCCACACTTGTAGCATGCGCTGAAATAGATAAGGATGAAGTTTAATAAGGAAATAAATGGGGATAAATTTTGCCTTGCTGTCTTTTTCCCAATAATCTATTGGTTCAAGAACTCCCTGAGGTACAAGAGTCCTGAGTTCAAGTGGTTCCTCTCTTAGAAAGTTGGACTACTTTGCCTTTTGTTGCTAAGTAATTATCTGTTCTGTAGATTTTTGAGGAAATTGAACACCTTCTGCAGGACACAGTTAAGTATTCATTGTTCCCAGCGGTGTTGGTCAGCACAGCGGTTCCATGTGCTATTTGTTGTTTGTAATTATGCAATAACAGAGTTACTATGCACCAGTGCTACCTCTGTATCGCATTGCAGGATGACTAGGAGTTGGCATGGATGCCCTCTGTGCTACGTAGCTGCACTGGGCTTTTGCTTCTGCCCATCACTGTCTGATCAGCTTGTCATAGTTTGTTGTGTGGTCCATCCACTCCAGTTAAAAGGGCTGGGAGCAGGTCATGCATATCTCCATTTATCTGCTACTCCCACCCTAGAAAAACATCACCCTCTCCTTAACCTTAACGAGAAACCCACGTCCACAATCGAGGCCAGGCAACGACGCTGGGCAGGGGCAGGGGGGGGAAGGCGGCTGTGGGCAGGAGGACACTGCTGTTGTGCAGCCCCGGCAGGCAGGCAGGGAGGGAGGGTTCCGCAGGGCCCAGTCCTCTTCCGCCTCTGCCGTGAGAGCCCATCCCAGTGGGCATTAGTGGGCCGGGGGGAGAAGCCCCGTTCCGCAGGCGGCCGCAGCTCCCGGGCCCTCAGCCTGAAGGATGTACTGCTCTCCAGGCGCGTAGTGGCACTGC